ACTGTGCTGTATGCCAGGCAATATGCTAGGTGCTAAGGATATAAAAATAATAAGACAAACATGGTCCTTGTCCTCAGAGTTTGTTATTAAGCTAAGTTTATTTGAAAAAGTAAAAGTGAAGACTGAGGGAGACCCTGGCTCTGCGGTGCAAGCTTGGGCTGAGTAAAACAGGAAAAATTAAAGTATGTCCTGGAGAACACACGTTAGGCTGTCGTGAGGAAAACCATGATAGCAAGCTCTTCTTAGCACCTTTTAGGCTTTTCAGACTTAAAGGAAACCCACAAGAACTTCTACATACAGGTCCTGAGGGGTAGTGCTGGGATCCCACACCTCAGGCAGACATCAGGTGTAGGCCATCCTATTGAAAACCTTCTTGAGTTATCATGAGAAGTCCATATGCAGAACTTTGGCAACTGTTCTATGCATGTGTTCCAAATCTTGTAATAAATAGGTCATGTCTACTTCCCTAGCCAGCCTTGTGATGCCCTAATCTCTTATCTCATTTCTCCCTGAGAGACACAAATCCCCATAATTTTTTATGGTGTGCTGAGGGAGTGAAGATCTCTGTCTTCTATAGCTTCTTTAAGCTGGTAGGGGCTACAGACCCTACGTACTGGGGATTATGTGCCCTCCAACTACCTTGTGGTGCTGTGGCTCACTGGCTGAGTTAAAGAAAGACAAATTTGTCAGGAAACAATGAGACAAGAGTTAATGACCATTGATCTTCACTGTTACCCCAAATATGAGGAGTAGATTAGGGTTAAATTTAGGGCAGGTGAGATTTGTGGCACTGGAGTCTTGCTTTTTGAAGAGAAATCTCAAGTCTTCCAAAGCCTCACAGGAGTAGCTTTCTCCTTCTGGGTGATCTTGTTCTTCAGACAGTTCAGATGAAACTGCCTTTATTCTAGAAAAATGAATCCAATTATCTATCTTTACCACCTTGACTGCAGTGGGTGTGGCATGGATTACTGAAAGGGGCCCCCACTATTTTGGCTTTAATTGGTAAGTGGGTGTTCCATCTCTCCCAGTTTTTATGAGCACTTTGTCTCCAGGATGGACAGTAGGTAGTCCTTCTGGGCCAGGAGCTAGCAGGACTCTCTTCTCATACATTGGATAGCTGTTGTACTTGGCCCAGATGAACCACTTACCAGTCCAATTATTTAACTACAGGATGACCAAAAATTGCATATTTATTTCATTAATTTTTATAAGATAATATAACAGGAAATATAAAAATGGCAATTTTATCAAATTCAGTACAAGAATCGACTGGTTGAAAAGACACCTGCTTGTGCAATGTTCAGGATAGTCAGTATACAAGTAGGTTGCCCAAGTGATGCTCGGGGTAAACTGTTACGTGGTTAATGATATATTATAAGAGCCTCATGGTCTCTGGGTCTACTATCATCAGAGAATAGAAATGTATAACACCTCAAAGGGGCTCAAACTTAGCCCAGTTTTGGGTATGTTACAAACACTCATGAGTGCTATCAGCAGCAATCAGAGCCAGGACTCTGACATCTCTTGGCAGAGAGACCTTTCCAGAAGATTGGGGCTGCCAGGAGGAATGGTGGTGGTACTTTATTCCTAAAGCCTTTGCCACCCCCTGAGTTATTTGTAGGGTAAAAGAAGGACCATTGTCACTCTGGAAGGGCTAAGGTAGTCCAGATCTAGGGAGGATTTCTTTAAGAAGCACCTTGACTATGTAGCCTCTTCTGCATAGGCTGCAATCCAGCCTGTAAAGGTGTCAGGACCGACATCTGTTTAAATCCTCCATTTGGTGGCATATAGGTAAAGTGTAACTGCCAGTTCTTCCTAGAATATGTTGTTCTCAACTGTACAGGTTCTAAAAAAGGAGGTGATTGGGGCTTGCCTGGGTTATTATAGGCACAGAGTGGGTAAGCTTTGCATACTTGTCAGGTGGTTGCTGCCCACCCGCCTCAAAAGCCTCATATGGTCATAGGTAGGGCTTTTCAGAGGTAGCCAGACCTAGGGTGTGTGCTATTGGGATCAAGGACATAATGCTGAGATTGATTCATAGTACAGTGCTAGGTTTAAGGATGTGAGTGCTATCTGCCCTAAAATACAAGGTAAGATACAAGGGACAGAAAGAGCTGTGGTCGTGGCTTGTCACTTGTTGCTTATAGTTTGCTTGCTTGGTGCTGTCTGCCCACCGTGAACTATTTCTTCTCTGCAATGCCCCTCTGTCTTACCACCTGACCTTGGAACCAGCCAATTATGGACTGAAACCTCTATAAACTGTGAGTCAAAATAAACCTTTCCTCCTTTAACATCAGGTGTTGGGTATCTTGTTTCAGCAGCAAGAGAAAAGAAAGAGAGAGAGGCTTAGCATATAAAGCCAGTTAGTTAAAAAAAGGAAAGATGGTGGCAGTTGACACAGGCCCATTCAGGCTCTAAACTTTTTTATTGGTGCCACCCACACCCAGGAGGGGGTTCCCATAATCTTAGCTAGTTTTGTGATTCCATGCAGGCTTTAAACCTACTTATTGGTACCAGCCACACTCAGAGTGGACCACCCTTCATCCTAGCATCTCACCCTCAACCCAACATCACATAATCCAAGAGAGAAACACCCAGGGCGGGGCACTTTTAATCCTAACATCACACCAAAACACAAACCAAGAAAATTTTAAAAAGCCATTTACAAAACTGGAGTAAGTGGAGACCAGTTTAATTTCCAAAAAGAATAGTAAATTACAACAAACACATGGACAACAAGGACCCACAGAGTGAGTACAAGCAGCTAGAAAGAAAAACAAAAGCCTACATTCCCTCCTCCTATCCCCATGGCAGGGCCAGGAAGCCCCTCTGGCACCTTGAAAAGAATCCCCCAGTTCCTGACCTAGGGGAGAGAGTATGGCAAAGAAGGAGAGAAGAAAGAAAGCTTCGTGGAGAGAAACAAAACTGTGTCCAGCATGGGCCTTACCTTGGTTTCCAGTACCTGAACTTTACTCCTGGCTAGATACAACAAAATATTATCTGGTAGTTCCTTCTAAAAGTGGCTCACTAGATAAATATTAACAGGTTTGGGTTTGCTCAGCTCTCCTTTTGAAGTTAGATTCCAGGGTCTTCTCAGCCCCAAGAACTGAACAAGACAAACAAAAAGCATGGTGGTACATGTCTGTAATCCCAGCACTTGGGAAGCTGAGGCAGGAGGATCTCCATGAGTTTGAGGCCAGCCTGGGCTACCTAAGCAAGTTCAGGCCCAGCTTGCACTACATAGCAAGACCCTGTCTCAAAAGAAAGAATTAAAAGTAAAGAGTGAGGGAGAAACTGGCAGTGTAGAGTGAGCTTCAGCCAAGTAAAAGGAAAAAGCAAGATAAAAGTATACCCTGTGTGGGAGAGCAGAGGAGAATTGAGAGCTAAATGACCTCCTCTGAGTACAAAGGAGAAAAACAATGTGCAGGGATGATGGCATGTTACAGTTTCTCAGGAAAAGTCAGTATAGCTGAGATTAAGTTGTTTACCTGAGCATATATTAATGGATATTGAAAGGCAGATAAATCTTGTGTTACTTTATCTGCTTTACCCATGTCTTTGTGAATAAAAGCGAGATGAACCAGATGCTCAGGTTCTTCTGACTAAGAGGCAAGAGCCCCCTGGCTGCCCATATGCGGAACTAACTCTATATCTCTTTGTCATTCATCCTCTTTCACCCCAGGGGTCAGAGGAACAAACTAATTACAGATCTAGGTCCCTCAAGTGTTGCTTTGGGTGGGGAAAGCTCAGAGGAGTAGGCTGGTTCCCCACAGGTGGTACCTGGGAAAGAGACCTGAGGCCAGCGGACCTGGCCAGTCTGCTACAACCCTGGAGGACACAGGGCAGGCTATTGTGAGGAAAGCCACAATACCAAGCCTCACAGAGCTTATAATAAAAAGAAATTAGACATTGCAAAACGGTGTTGTTAGTGCTTTGATAAGAAAAGTACGGGGTAAGATAGGATTATATCAAAAGCACAGTTTATCTTTATTCAAGAAGATGGAGAAGGCCTTTCAGAGGACACAATATATTTAAAAGTTATGGCATTGTAAGTGGAAGAAGACTGGGGAGAAATTCTTCTAGGTGATAGCAGAGTTCTCAGTATGAAAGAATGTATGTAAGAACAAGAGGAAGCTCCATGTAACTAAAAATGTCTAGTGGGCAGAAGGGCAAAAGAGGCTGGAGTCACTGGGCTCAGGACTTTACAGTTAGTAGGAAGGCCTAAAAGGATTTTGTTCATAAAATTTCCAACCAACATAAATAAAAAAGAATTATGTCAGAGCATGTTTGTGTGTGTGTGTGTGGGTATAGACTGTTCTATTTACTAGTTTTCAACCAGCTTTGTCAGCTATTACATAGCTATTGTCTTTTGTGCCAGTTTGAATGAAAACTGACAAAAGCAGGATCCTGCAGTCTCAGGGAAACCACTTTGTATAGATTAATCAAGATGGTGGAGAAGCTAAGAAAGCTTCTGAAGGAAAAACACATTTAAAAAAATACTAGTCTTGCTACTGTTCATCTGTTTTTATCTCAACTTCTTCCTTTTTTTTTTGAGACAGGATCTCACTGTAGTCGAGGCTGGCCTGAAACTCACAGTGATCCTCCTGCCTCAGCCTCCCGAGTGCTGGGATTACAGGCGTGTGCCACCACACCTGGTCTGAAATTTCAGTTTAAAATAAATACTTGCAAACAAGGATCATCTATAATAAGTAAATTTCAGAGTCCTTATTTGTTTACTAACTATTCTGGCTCACAAAATGATTTTCGCAAGACTGGGAAAATATGTACATACTTCCTTTTCTGTCTAATTTACAGCACACTCTATAACATGAAAAACTTGAAAGATCTAAGAGAATTTAAATATTTGTTTGCAATATTATAAATGGTTCTCATCCTTAATCTCCAAAATAAGTGTCTAGCTGATCTTTTATTATAAAGTAATGTCTATAAGACCTTTTTCAAGAGATGTATATTGACAGTCTATGTTCTTTCTCCTTTAGATATGTTTTTTTGGATTTGGGTGGCTTTTCTTCATGCGCCAATTGTTTAAGGACTATGAGGTGAGAACAAATCATTATGTTATGCTTATATGAATTAAGATTCTTTTAAAAGACAACCCCCATTAAAGAAAGATCGTGTTCACATCCAAGATAGCAAGTTTTTGCTAAATGAGGACTGTGAAACTGGAATATGATTAGGTTTAGTAGATTTAACAACAAAAAATTCAAGTTACAGTCCAGAAGTCCAAGTACAAGGAATGTCATACCTGTCATATCTGGACATACACCCAATAGCAGACAATTACTCTTTGGGAGAATAATGTCTTATAACTTCTTTTTCATTTGTCTCTCTAGCCTTGAATTACCAATTTTTTTTCTTCCAAAAAAGTTTTAGTTTTTATTAAATGTTTCTGTTTGTATTCACCCAACACAAATGGTATTTTAAAAGTTTTATTGTGCTAGATGTGAACACCTTGGATTTTGGGGTTTTTTCAGTGCATATTAGTAATACAGAATAATGAGATTGATATATGTGTATAACATTTTGATTATTTTAATTCTCATTACACCCCTCTCTTTTCTCCTCCTTCCCACAATCCTCTTCCCCATCTCTAAAAGTCTACCTTCTACTTTCCTTTGTTTTATTTTAGTTATTTTTTTAGATTGCTCGGAGAAGAGAAACCATATAATATTGTATGAATTATCATTCTCAATGTCAAAATCTCAAAGCTGTCCTGGTTCCTGTTACAAGCCTTGGATTCAGAAAATCACCGCCCTAGACTGGATATATTCTAATTCTTTTTCTTTAGTAATAAGATCAATAGCTATGGACTACCTTTGGACCATTTCTATTGTGTTCTACATTAAACCTCCCCAGGGAGTTTGGGTAGTTGTCTGAAAGCCCAGAATTCTGGAGACTGTTTGGTTCAATACCTTAAGTCTTCCCAGGTAAAATTCCCAAACTGATCCAAGATTTTTTTTTTTAAGTCAGTGTGCATCAGGAATTCATATGGTACTTCTGACTGTTTCTTCATCTTCTTGTGCTTTGATTATCAGCTCAAAATTTCAAGCAAGGAAATGACTGACTTCTGGTCTCTTTGGCTTTTACTAGGTGCGTCAGTATGTTGTACAGGTGATCTTCTCTGTGACTTTTGCATTTTCTTGCACCATGTTTGAGCTTATCATCTTTGAAATCTTAGGAGTACTGAGTAGCAGGTGAGTAAGCCACCTAAATAACTCTGTTGAAGAATTCTGTGTAAATTCCTTTATAGTAGAAGAGTCACTTCCATAGCTGGGAAAAAAACAAACAAACAAACTACTTGTGTTTCAGTAACTGCAGTGATCACTGTAAATATGGGTCCCGGCCATCTAGTAACTAGTTTGACAGAAATTATGAAGGAAGTACCAGGAAAAGAATGACTATTGAAATAAGACTGAGAAACTAGGTCCTCGGCTCCCCTCAGAGAAGCTGTATTTTCTTAGGCTGTTTTCTGGCTGAATCCCAATAATGGCCCTTCACATTGTTCTGCTAATTTAAAAATCTCTGCCTGAAAAGATCAGAATTCCTCAGAACCATTTAACTCTACTCCCTACCAAATAACAGGCCTGCTGGTTTATTAGACAAGTTATCCAAAATATTTCTTGCCAGTTAAACTACAAGCTTGAGTCTTTTTTAGGCCAGCATCTTTATGTGGAGTTGATCACCTATGCTGTGTTAGCTTGTATTGTACTTTTTTCTTTGCAGTATTGAGAATTGAACCCAGGACCTTTGCACTGAGCTGCATCCCCAACCCCTTGGTGGAGGGGGTCTCACTAAGTCACTGAGTTGCCAGGACTAAACTCAAACTTGCAGTCCTCCTGCCTCAGACTCCAAGAATGCTGGGATTTTAGATGTGAGCCACCTCAGCTTACCCTACTGTACTTTATCACCACGTGGAAGAATCTTTTACAAAGGAAGTGGTTTTTCACTCTTGTTAGGAGTCAGTGCTGATCTAAGCTAAATTCATTATAAATCCCTAACACTTGAAATTTATAGAAAAATTTTATTCTCGAATCCTTTGTTTTAAGAATCAGTCAAAAAGTAATTTTAGTTTTAAAAACTTATAATACATGTGGTTAATTGCAAAATATTGAAAGTTTTAAAAGAGAGTTGATAATTTTGGTCTCACGACAGAACACTTAACAACACATAGTACTGTACTGTAAAACAGCGATATATTCTGAATCTCCTTTTAAACTTGTTTAATAATCCAGACTTGGGGCTGGGGGGATTTAGCTCAGCGGCAAAGCGCCTGCCTCGCAAGCGCAAGGTCGTGAGTTCAGTTCCCAGTACCAGAGAAAAACCAAAAAAAAAAATAATAATAATCCAGACTTTTTTCCATGAATGGATGTAGATCCAGAGGCCAGTGTTTTACATGCGGTTATTAAACTTTATTATCAAAGCCTTCCTATTTCAGTACTATCTAAGCAGAGGTTGACAAACTCTTCAGTGAAGGGCAGATAGTAAATATTTTAGGCTTTGTGGGCCATAGGGTTTCTGTCACAGCTGTTCAGCTCTGCTGTTGTAATTGAAAAGCAAGCATAAGCAATAAATAAACAAATGGACATGGCTGTGCTTTAGTAAAATTTTGTAAAAATTGGTAGTGGCCAAGGCATTGTTTGCTGACCACTAATCTAAATATTTTTAGAACGGACTATGGCTCAAATAGTCTAAAATCATAGTTACTGTTTTTGGTAGATTATGTTCCTCAACTTTTAACTCATAATGAGTAAGCCTGTAGAATAAGAAACACCAGTTACACTTCGATGTATATTTTTCGTATATCTTGAATAGTTGTCTCAAAGGGAATAGCAATTAGCACTGCCAAAATCTGGTTCTTATTTAGGTACTTTTTGGGGATTGGGTTTGTTTAGGCTAAGACATGTCCATGGTTACACCTATTCTTTTTGCTAATATTGATTCCCAGCCATGGACCTTGATCATGTATTATATCTGTGCATTGACTGAATTCAAATAGTTTTCAAAAGAGACCCTTGGTACTAAGAGTATTCAACTATTCCTGATGGTATTTTTTTTTTTTTTTTTTT